CTATCATTATTACCATTATGATATTACTATTACTATTACTATTATTATTACTATCACAATTATTATTATTATTACTATCATTGTCCCTATTATCATCGTAAAAAAATATTAATATCACTACAATTATCATCACTATTAGCAATATTATTAGTATTATTATTGGTTTCATTATTGCTATAACTATTATTCCTATTAATACCATCATTATTTAAATCATTGTTATTATTACCACTATCATTTTGATTGTTGTCATTGTCATCACTATTAATATCATAATTATTACTATTATTAATATAATTATCAAAATTATCACAATCATCACCATTATTACCATCATAGCAAACTATTATTATAACTATAAAGACTATTAGTAGTATTATTAATAATATTGTTAGTATTATTATCATTATATTATTGATATTATTATTACTACAATCACTGTAATTATCATCATTAGTATTATTATAACTATAAAGACTATTAGTAGTATTATCACTATTATTTTTATTGATATTGTTATTGTTGAAATAATAAAAATCATAAACTTGATTTGAAAGATAAAATTATAAATCATAAAAAATTTAACAAAAAAGCCAAGGAAAAAAATAAAAAACAAAAGTAGAAGAACTGAATCGAAGAACATTATTTATACAAATTAGAATTGAACGATTAAATTGAAAATAAATAAACTTTAGCAAAAGAGAAAAGGACCAAACTAAAAAAAATCAAAACTAAAAGGATGGATTTTGAAACACCAACAACAAATAAATCAACAAAATTAAAAATAAAATTAAAATGATGAGTTTCAAATATGATTAACAAAAAAAATTAAAGGAGTATATAACTGAAACAAAAAATAAAATTTAAGAAATGAATTAAAACAAACCAAATAGTTATAAAAAAAACCAGAGACAAAATTAAAAGAAAAGGAGCTTGAAGGGATAGTATGGGATATTGAGGAGAAAAGGAGCTTGCGGGCCAAACAAGACTTTCAAGGAGAAAAGAAAGAAAGAAAGGGATGCCGCGATTCATTGGAGGTTCGGCTAGCACAAGAAGGCGACGGAGCGACTAGGCATTTAACACGTGTCATCAGTATCTTTTAATGATTTTTTTAAATCCTACCCCTAAAACCCAAGCTTAATTACAAAAAAAAAAAATCATTATGCAATTACGAATTAGCTCCTCAAGTTAAGCCTTAAAAAATTTGAATCCATCCAAGGGTAATAGAATAATTACTTACACTACAGAAAAATTTAAAGGGCAACAAAGTTATTGAATTGTGCAAAAGATTAATAAAAAGACAAACATATCCCTTAAAAATTCGCAAATAACAAATAAATAAAATGAAAAAACTATTTTATCCAAAAAAAAAAAACAATCCACGTGAAACAAATGCCGACACGTTTGACACCCTCCCACAGCTACCATCTCGACGTTGGACCATCCATTCAAAGACCGACACCTCGAAAAGAACATTGTGACCATGAATCCTAGTCATCGCATTGGAATTTAAAATGGGTGTCCACTTCCCCCCCCCACAGCTTTTCCCGAGAAAAGCAATGTGCAGGGAGATATTTTGTTATGTCGGCACCACCACAACCCGCGTGTGGGGAAGGCAACGCGTGCTCCAACCTCTCCCGTGAATTTGATGCTATAATTCATTCGAAATTTCTCATGCCATTCATGGAGCTGTGTGCTGGCGTATAAAATTATTTATTATTTTTAAAAATTATTTTTAATATCAATCCATCCAAATAATTTAAAATTATTAAAATAATATTAATTTAAAATACAACCCACATAACAATATCAAATGCATTCTTATAATTTAGATATAATATCTCATGCCATAACATTCATGCTTTTATGACGGTCCACTGTGTTATATGCTAGGAGATAAATAAGGAAAATCTCAATTCTAATCCTATTATACTATTTAATTATTCATTGTTTTTTTTTTAATAGATTACATTAGAAATAATAACTCATCCCTTCCTTCGTCCAACTACTTTAAGCTTTCAAACAAAAATAAATATATTTTAAAAGATAATTTTAATATAGACTCCACTTCATTATTGACTTGATTATAAAAAAAACTAAATTTACTTTTAATTCAATGTTGAAATCATGATTAAGGATGGATTTAATTTTATCTCATATTGAATGAAAATGTTTAAATTATATTTGATTAATATCTCAGAAATGACATAAATATATTTAGTTAAGAGATCAATATACAAATATAAAATAAATTTAATTTTAATAATAAATTTATATACTTAGCAAGACTCTTCGTATCTTCATCATCTTTAAAGATTGATCTAAATTTTTATAACGCTGAAATCCATGGGATGGCATGGAAAAGAAACACAAGGAAAATGGTCATGAGTCATCACTGGCTGGCCAAACAAGCTCCCCGCCACCAAACGCGCTTTGTCCTTCACCGTTTTGACAACGCAATCGCCATGCAATAAATCCCTTCAACAACAAATCAGTTTAGCTACTGGTGGATCTAAGTTAGTTTGTACTGCTGCAACAGAAACAACCCAAGTACGTATAAAGCAAACTATGGAAGCAGCAGCAACCTCTGCCTCTGCCAAGAAATCCTCCTCCTTTAGTCTACGTAGCCCCAGTCTCAATTCCCTTCGCCTCCGCCGCATTTTTGATCTTTTCGACAAGAATGGCGATGGCATGATCACCATCCAGGAAATTAGTCAAGCACTCAGCCTTCTTGGCCTCGACGCTGACTTCTCTGAGCTTGAATTCACCATCAAATCCCACATTAAGCCAGACAACATTGGCCTTTCTTTCGAAGATTTCGTGTCCCTTCATCAATCATTGGACAACAGTTTCTTTGGTTACGATAATAATGCGGCCGAGGAGGAGGCGTCTGCGAATGATATTGGAGATCAAGCTTGGATGAGAATGGAGGAATCTGATTTGTCAGAGGCATTCAAGGTTTTCGACGAGGATGGGGATGGTTACATATCAGCACATGAACTGCAAGTGGTCTTGAGGAAGTTGGGATTGCCTGAAGCCAAAGAGATTGACAGAATTCAGAAGATGATCATCACTGTCGACAGCAACCATGATGGTCGTGTTGATTTCTTTGAATTTAAGGAAATGATGAGGAGCGTTCTTGTTAGAAGCTCTTAATTATTCATCTTCATGATCTTAATTCTCCCTGAAAACCCCTTTTTTTTTTCTCCCTTTCTTTCGCTTTCTTTTCAGTGGTTAATTAGTCTTAATTATGGTTTGTTTTCATATGCATGAACATAGAAATATGAATCAATCATTGTCATGATTGTACCAACTATGCTCAGGCTTCATGTTTGTATGTGTTAATAAGATATCATTGTTGATTTTGACATTTCAGGATTTGTACTCTCATGTATTTCTATGCTGCTTCTCTTAGATCCCATCATGCGGTGTCTGCTCTTTCTTTGTGTTCTTAGCTCCATGTGCCTGAGCATGAGCATTCTCTCTTTGCTTATGCATCTTCCAAGATAATTAGCACATGTACAGAGACAGCAAGTTTTTATTTCTTTATTGCCCAAAGCTTGGATCTTGTTCAAAATGCAGCTTCAAGTTGACCTCTAGAGTCTAGATTGTGATTGAGCTAGCCCTTGCACGACTTTGTCAACAATATACGACCATTGACATCTATGCATTCATCAAATTTCCTGTAAAAGAAAAAATGTTCCTTTCAAGAAGGGGACAGACAACAGCGACCTTTAAATTTTGATCCATTTCTTTTTAAGAGATACAAAAAAAATTTATCATAGTTTCAATCTACGTTTGAATAATCAAAAGGAGAAAACTAGCTAGACACGGAAAGCAGAAAATAAATAAAACAAAACCTGTTAATTGAGTTCACACAGCAGTCTGACTGTTCTAAACTGATGGTCTATTATATGACTTGGGAACCCAAGAAAAGTCTTGGTGAATTTTTCATTCAAGATGGAGATTTGACGTTGGTAATAAATCCGTTTCAACTTTATGATTGACATTGCTTGTAGCTGCATAAGATCAGAAAAAATCATCGGTCCAGGCTGTGTGTTTGTGTTGTGCTTGCTTGTTGATTTTTTCAGAAAAATATGAACCAAATTAGAGCGCAGGAATCCAGGGAAAATTATGATTCTTGAAGCAATATGAAAGGATGACTCGAATAAAATAACAGGATGGAGCCATGCACCAATGCCAGCTCCATCTAGAAGACGTCATCAAACTACCTTAAATCCAGGCTTCATTTGATTGATTTCTGCAGTTAATTTGATTACTAGATTGAGGAACAAGCAAGACCGTTCATAAGAAGGAATCGTAGGCCCACATAGGTAGTTAGTTTCAAAGCAGGTTTCGAAGTTTCCAACATCACAAACACAGCAAATGGGGTAGTTCAATTCTGTTTTATTACACATTTTCAAAACCAAGCACCAGGAGCTGGATCCGCCTTCTCTTGGAATATTTCTGAGGACATGGTACCCTGTTTCAGCACAGAAATCAGCTTTTATCAGCCTTATAGGCGCATATTCACACGAAACATGATGATATGTTGCCAAGTATCAACACCAGATGATGTAAGACAAGACCAGACAGTCCCTTTCCCTTCCTGATACTGGGGAAATTTCAGCATGAACTTGCGGTTTTATTTCAAGATTGCAACTAACAATTACAAGAATCAGATTGCCGAGCTGGTCCTAATACTATGAGAGTTGGCTTTGCCGGGGAGACCGAAAAGGCAAACACATGGACCAAGTCTGGTTCAATGTATAAAAGTGGAAGACGTGCCATGGCATATGGCACAAGAGGACTGGTAGATGGGTTAAGAGGTCATAATCTGTAACAAAATTGAAAAACAAGTGTAGCAGACACAACCAAATCTGCAAACGTAAGATGGGTTAGTCTCTTCTGAGAAGAGAATATTGAATTACGGAGGTCGAGGGATTTTGAGGTTTATTAAACCAAAAATACAAGCCCAAGTGTTCATCTTCTAACACAGTTTATTAGAATAAACAAGGGTCTAAAATGATGACTCTTCAAATAACATAACCACTGGCGTTGTCTGATTTGGACCAAGACTACATTAGACATAGACTCTTCAACCAAAACCAAAAGCAAAAAGGTTAAAGCTTAGCTAACTAGCAAAATTTCTTGATTAAATCAAATCTACCTTAGCTTAATATTACCTCCATGCTCATGTTTTTCTACCCTCATTCCAACAACCTCTGATCTTTTTTATCTGTAAGGATTCGTTTTCTATTATAGGTTTTGAGATTATGATCATCATAAATACCTCAAAATATGTCAAGAATCATTTGCTTCACAAATATCTCAATACTCCTGTTGTGATTAGCCGATGAATAACTATCTAACATGGCAAGTATCGCATACAGAGATCAAGAGCTAGAAGAGAGCTTCTCATTCAGCAGCTGCTATGACTTCAACTCCTCATCATTCCAGTCCATTTTCTCCGATGAAAGCGACGATGAATCCTACATTGAGATAGCCCTTGAACAGAAGAATTATCATGGAGATATTGATGACCGGGCTGATGAGGAAATGGAGCTCCGTATATCATTTTCTTCTAGTGTTCCTTTCCAAGAACCCTCCACCACAACAACCAGCATTGAGTATGAGTCTCCTGCGACAATGTCAAAGTCTCCATCGTCATCAACAACAACAACAACAACATTCACTATGAACTCTTCTTCTCCTTCCAAGGAGGGTGATCAATTGGATACTCAAACGGGGTCCAAGGCTTCTAATTCTAATTGTAGAATCCAAAAGACCATTAAAAGGAAGGCTCAGTTTCCTAAAGTTAACGGTTTTCTCAATATGTTAAAGCCCAGTTTAACGGTATCATCAGAGGCCAATGATGAAAATGGCGGTCCGGCTAACAGCAGTCACTTGGAGCTTGTACGCCCCAGGTATCCTTCAATATTTTCTGATTTTCATTTTTCGATTTTCTTATGGCATTTTTTTCAGAAATGGCCATGTTCGATATCAGTATTGTTCATTAAAAATATATTAGACTTTGAAAAAAAAAAAAAAAAAGGCCCATGGTCACAAGTTAACGCATACGGACCTTGAGTCGTCCATTTCAATTTAGTCTATGATCTCCTCTTCTACACTATGATACTAACTAAACGCAAATCAAGAGATAAATCCGGAAAATAACAAGGATAAAGGATAGCTTTTTGCCCCCTTAGTTTCTCGAGTTTTTCAGGAGGAGGCAACTAATCTACAGCGATGTGGGTATAGATATCATTTGCAATAATTTATATTTATTTGAATATGATGACTATAGGCATTTGATATTACAATAATCACTGAGGTACTTGCCATGTTGATTTCCTGTTTCAATTCAATCAAAGCACGATGAAAGGATCGAAGGAAACAGCAATGAACAGCAGTGGCATCATGATGAAGTTCTTGGTCAAGTTTCGAACCTTGAGAATTCGGACTTTGCTCGCATCATTTATGAAGTCTCGCCAAGAAATTAACTTTCCCCGAGAAAAGAAAAACATTGGGACATATCATACGTTGATAAAGCCTTTTGACAACTGGTTAGTGCGAAAAGGACAAGGCAGCGGCAGCAACTCGAACAACCCTTTCGGAAATGGTGACAGGTCAAGAGTTATGGAGAAGAACTTGGATGCAATTAGAGGAGTTTTGGAAGCAATGAGTACTAGCATTGGTGGGAAAGATAGAAAATCTAAAAGTTGTCCAAGTTCAACAAAATCCTCCCCAACTCACCTGGGTTTCTCGAGTGGAAATCAGAATCACAAAATATGTGGTCAGGACAACTCAATCCAGGCTGCTATTGCTCATTGCAAGAGATCATTAGGCCCAAATATTTTGTGATTTTATTTTTAAATTTCTCCTTTCTGCATGTTGAAATTCATGTACGGAATCACCAGCTTGATTTAACAAAACAAGGTGTTCTCCATATCTGAGATGTTCATGGTTTTGACGTCAAGATTTGGGATTACCTAACAAGTAGCTAGTTGTCAGAATCTCGCTCGGACAGACTTTTCTAGGAAGGAATGCATTTGATTTCTACCACTGGGCCACTTTTTGGGATTATTTTGCCAGGATTGAAATCTAAGTGAGAGAGGCCCTCAACTTCTCGAGCCTCCCTCCCCTTGGATATGAAGATCCGAGACCGTGAGCTGGGCCTCCCTTGGCAGGTTTCTCCAGCGCTGGTCCACGGTTTTAAGTGTACGTGGTTTTAAAAGTCATGGCTTTAAAAGGTCGTCTGATATTTATTTTTTTATATTTTTTTTAATGGTTATTATATTCTTAAATACTATCTATAACAAGTAGGAACGGAAAGGTGACATAAAATTGATTTTTTTTTTTATGTTTCTTGAAAAATATAATAGATTGAAGATGATCAACACTAATAAACTTCTTGTTCTCTCCCTGCAGCTTCCTGTCGCTCGCAGCGCATGGAACTCGTATCTTCTTCGTAGCTTGGTTTTATTCTCTCTACCCTTTTACTTTTTGAACAATAAACAATTGGAGGAAGAAGAGGCTAAACAACCATATTTAAATAATAAAGAAGCCAGTTGATTATGTCACGGCATGGATGCATGCCGACTGAAACCTTTTTGATCATACAAAAGCAGAGAAAACTCTGGAAAGTCTGAGAGATTTATATATTATGCATGGAACTTTACAAGGGGCAGACCAGACGCAGGTCGTTGCATAAGAAGGGAAAGATCTTTGAATCGTATGGGAGTGGAGATGGACACGGCAGCTGCTGAAGACAAAAAGGGCACGGACATGCACGGGCTCCCCACTGGCAGCTCGGCAAAGAAACTGAAAGGGCGGCGCTGCTGGCTGATGATTACAGCAAATAAAATGAGCCAAAAAAAATAAAAAACAGGACGAAGAACAGAGTGGGTGGGGATTGGAGAAACGGAGAGAAATCATTGCAGAAAGAAACACGCTTAGAAAGACACTATCCTTCTTTATTATTCAAAAAATAAATTGGTGAAATTTATAATAAATTTTTGATTTAGGTGTTTTGTGTTAAAATAAATAATAGTTTATTTAATAGATTTTTTTTATATTTTATTATACATGTTGTTATTATTATTTTTATATAAATTTGATATAAGTAATAGACGATCGTTTATAAATATACAGAGATTCATCTTATTAGTTGTGAATGATGGATTAATATAATGGGATTTCAGATTTTATTAATTATGCATTATTTAGTTCAAGAAATATTAATAAAGGGGGTATTAAATATTTATGCTAGAGACGTAAAAATAAAAAGTTTCTTGACTTAAATGTTGTAACAATATATCTTCTAAAAAAATATTCATAAAGAAATACTTATATTGATATATATATTGTTTCTCGTGATATTATGATAAAAAGGATGGTCGAGTCAACTTTTAATTTTATCAATGTGCATGGAGTTATAAATAATAAGATTAAAAATATAATTATGGATATGATAAAAATGAATTAAGATCATATCAATCAATGTTTAATCATAAATGAAAAACCTTATATTGACACAATCATGGTTTTTTTATTTTTTAAATGAATTATTATAGGATAGTTGAACAAATCACAATAAATTATTAATTATTTTATAAGTTTTCATCGTCGACTCATGTCATAAATTAAATAAAGTTAATTATAATATAATTATCAAATAAATAAATAATATTTTAATAGAAGAAAACACGCTAAAAAGAAGCTTTTATACTTCTAAGTTCACGATAAAATCCCTCTATCTAGGATTCGAAAAGGTTAATACGTGTCTAAAAAATACTTTTCAATTACATCAACTGAAGATTCTAGCCGGATCGAACAAGTTTTTTTCCTTCAAAAAAACCGGTTTCGGCCCCGGCGGCAACGTCCTTTAACCAGCAACCATATATACGCATGGAGATGTAGACGACGAAGTTTCCCATGTCACCATCAAATTGCCCGCAGAGGGATCATTAGATGCGTTGCTTCACTGTAGATTCGTCTTTCGGTATGTAGTGGTGCGCGAGCGAGGGAAGGGGCCCACGTGTTCCTTTATTGTCATGTATATCATACACTGTCCTGACGTAACGTCTGCCTGCTCCCTCTTATTCTGTCCCTGTGCATTCCCATTCATTCATGCATCCATATTAATTCATCAGTTATTCTTTGTAGTAATATCAATTTTTTTAATTACTTGGATATTCAGATCATTTTAAAAATATTTTAATTAGTTTTATAGATTTTAAAATTAATAACCATTTAATTTTTTTTTAATAATCCTGAAATTTGACCTGAATTCATGATTCCTAAACAATAAATCTAAAACTTAATCAGTAAAATCATACCCCTTGAAATTTATTTATAATAACAATAATTTTTATTCCATAACATCTCTTCCTGCTTTATTGCAAGTTGCGCATGATGTGATTTATTTCAGAATCTTTTTGACTTGGAATCCTAAATACGTGTGGAATAGAAGTTCTTTAATTTTTATGTTGGAAAATACTTTTAAAAAAATTTAATTTTTATTTTATATTTTTAAATTTAATTTTTTATATCATTTTAAATTATTGATATTAAAAATAAATTTTAAAAAATAAAAAAATATATTATTTTGATATATTTTAAAAACTAAAAAATACTTCATAAAATAACCCAAAAAAAAACTTAAGATATGAGCAACAATTTAAAAAAAAAGAACAAGATTCGTAAGTTTCTTTTTTCCTTTCCTTGAGAGTGAATTGCGAAAAAGACATGCATACAGAATCAGATTGGCCTTCATCTTTGGACCGCTAAGACATATCTTCCAAGAAAATTCAAGGATTTGTTGGGCATAGCATCCCAAAATCTCGAAGACAAAAGAGTCAAGAACTACCTTTTGAACCTTGTTTTGTAAGATCACCTCTTCCAACCATTTTATTTTTACTGCTGCTATTATTAGGAAATATATAGTTGGTGAATTGACAAAACATTCTCTTTTCCAGGGTGAAGACTTGTGTTTTGCATGAACACATATTCGAAGGAAATATGTTGCATCATGGAAAACAAAGTCAATACTAAATTAAATAGATTTACTTCCTCCTGTTAAATAGCACCATGGAACTTTAAGACACAAAACAAGATTTAGCAAGGTTAATTTGTTTTATTTTTGTATTTGAAACTGCGTTATAAAATATGCTTAGTTTGAAAAGACATCAATCTAATGTTTTTTAGTGTTTTTATTATTATTTTAATGTGAGAGTATTAAAAATTAAAAAATATAAAGAAATTTTATTTTAAAAAAAAAAACATTTTTGAAAAGTACTCTGCATAACAATACTATTATAGATAGTTTTTGACGGTTGTTGTTTTTTCAAAAAATAGGTTTTAAAAAATATTTTTAATTATATTTTTTAAAAAATAAAAAAATTACATAAAAAAATATTTTTAAATATATTTTTTAAAAAATAAAAAAATTACATGCTTGTTAAAAACTACCATAAAATGAATTTTTATAAGTAAAATAAACAAATTATTCTAATTCGTAACAACATATAAAATATAGTAAAAAAATTTATTTAATTAAGTATATAGTTTTTAGCTACGATTCAAAGAAGAACAATACCAAAGCGATACTAACAATGAAATCTTGAAAATTAAGTATCTTTTTATAAGTATATAATTTGTTATTTTTTAAAATATTTTTTATATTAAAATATATCAATTTAATAATTTTATTTTTTAAAAATTATTTTTAAGATTAACCTATTAAAATAATCTAAAATATATTTTATAAAATTAATTTTTAGTAAAAAAAAAAAGAAAAAACCAAACGGTGTAATATTAAATTGGAGTTGGTGGAGAGGAAGATCAACCTAGAGGTGAGTTCCATGCATGTCCAGGACCATTATAATATTTTTACCCTTTTTTACTTTACTGCTAGCTGACACCATGCCCGCGGTAGACCGTAGAAGTTTTGAGAAAAAATATCTAGATTGAAAAAATATTTGAAAGATATCATTCTTAAATTTTATACTCTCTTCGTACTGCATGTTATGACGTGTTTGGGGCATTGAAGATCGTGCCACGGTGGCCACATTCGCATCTTTTATTTTTTAATTATTGCAAGGCATTAAAGCAAGGACAGAAATTCACATTGACATGGATTGTAAGCCTTTTTTCCATGTATAATTTGTACATGAACCTTGAATATTTAATGTGCATCGGTTATTTTATTTTTAATAAATATTATCCTGTTTTTTTTTTAATGTGCTGTGGACAAAATAATCAATTTATTATTCTGAATATTCCGATGGATGCATGTGGCCAGGAAAACTTGATACTATGAGATACAGGTATTCAATATTCCCCTTATATTTTACTAGCACTAGGGTGGATTTTATTTTATTTTATTATTATTTTTTATCAAGCATAAAAAAACCGCATCTACACTATAATCTTTCTATAAGTTATTAAACTTAGCATAGCATATCAATATTGAGCACTCAAAACTCAACTCTTTATTTAAATTAAATTTTAACTATGTTAACTTAATGGATTTAAAAAAACATAAAATTAAAGAGGAAAAAATAGCATAACTCAAGTTAAATTAAATTTTAACTATGATACCAAACATGCTCTTAATTTATATAAAATAATTAGATGTCTAAGCATTCCCAAAAAGATTGTTTCACATGTCTGATCGGGTCCTCATGTTTTGCTACTTTAATACTACCAAGTTTGTATTTGATAATGTGGTGGAAGGTGATTTTTATTTAGAATTGTTTTAACATTGTCGTATTAAAATCATAATATATATAAAAGAGTATTAATATGATGTTTTTGAAATTAAAAAACACTTTAAAATCCTAGATTGAATAAGATTAACAAGCACACTTGTGTTGTTCAAACTTGTCTCGAGTTCATGAAGAAAAAAAATCATACGCTAGCTGTGTAATCACTGAGATGTGCTAGCCAGGACCCAGACCACCACCATACAATGCCCACTTTATAAACCATACTATCACGTGAATGGTTACATTTTCCTTCTTTTTTTATGATGGTATATAAAGAATTACTTCTATAAAGTATAAAAAGACCCTACACCACGTCATCAAACATGTCCAGACTCTGGATGTGGTGCAGAGCAAGGTTTTTAGGTTGGATGGATGGCTCCAACAAGACTTGCTCTTAAAGGGAGGGAGGAGGGGGCATTGCTTAGATTTGCTTAATGAAGAAGTAAATCCAAGCCCCTGTTCGATTCAATGATTCTTTTTATTCATTATTTTGTTGCCTTTCAGGCCAGCACTGCCACAACAATTAACAAAAAAACCTCCTATTTATGTGATCTTTGTTTCTACAAGATAATCAATATTTATTAAATCTAAAACGATCAATTTCAATAGTTATCTATTACCACCTTTACTATCTCATGTGATCTGCATTATTGGGTTTTAAAATGATGATGGGATTTAAGACAGACATGACACATCATAAAATATGACAAGGTTGGAATTTGAGGGCTCTTTTAGACAACTTGACTTAGAATATATAGGCTTCATAATTAGCCCAGAGGAAATAAGTGAAAGAAGCCATGGATTTGATGAGTAATTGTGTGTTTAGGAATAACATGTCTTTTTCTTATTAAAACATTTCTTCTACTATGGTGATTTAAAATCATTAAAAACACACTTCTACTATTTAAAAGAGGCTAAACCATACAAATATTATATTTTTTTTAAATAAAAAATGATAATAACAAATTGGCAATCTCAAAAAAAAAGAAAGATTGAGGGGTGGGTGGGAGGGGAAGGGCAGTTGTATCCTTCTTTCTTCCCCCCCGTGATCGTACGTCATCCCGCACATGCAAACTGCCTTTCAAAGAAAATTGTACGAAGAAAAGGACTGATTTTGAAGATTTATTAGTTATAAATCGAGTAAATGCCCCAAGGTAAACATGGCGGCTCATCCCGCCAGATATACATACATACATACATATGGCTTCATCAATGACAAAACTAGAAAAAGCATGCTTAATTCCCTCTACTTGTTTAAAATTGATAATATGTGTGTTTGATGTTTTTAAAAATATCTTTTGTTTGAAAATGAATTAAAATAATTTAATATTTTTAAAGATAAGAGAACTTTTAAAAAATATCTAAAAAAATATCTTCCACGCTCCACCAGGCAAAACTTGAAACCTCTTTGATGCCTCCTCCGCAGGAGCAGGGACAGAAAAGGAATTTAAAAAAAGAAGTGTACAAAGCACATGGTATCCGTGAAATACAGAGACAAAAAAGAAGAAAATAGGTAGGAAAGAGGGTAGAAGGTGCACACAAATTGTATCCATCCTTTCTACCGAGAAATTATTTGACACGTAAGCTGATGTATTCTTGTTTATTCACACCACAGCTACGACCTGAAATATTATTAATCTTACAAAACATCAACTTAACCTAATTAGATGTTGACAGTCGAGGAGGGACCGCTTAACCCTGAGAAATTATTATTAATAGACTTATTTAAAATATATTAACAACAAGATAATTCAGTGATAAGACACAAACAAAATCCTTTATTTTTTTATTTTTTTTCCTTGAAGAAATTATGACGTGTCCCATCTATTTACGATGGGGGGGGGAGAGAGAGAGGCGTATGTTTCCGAGTTATACTCGTCAGAAATTAATCCACCACGTACCCCACCCATCTCTCTCTCTCTTCTTCTTTTTTTTTAACAGTGTGAGTGACCGACCTCTCCACCGTTAAAGGACCACAAGAAAAGAAACGGAATTCAGCACTCAACAGTCAGTCTGTGCATTCATCAATGTTTTTTTTATAAGCTTTTTATTTGCTCCTTTTTTTATCAACAGCTAACAGCCTCTTCTCCCTTCTCCCCTCCTCGACAACAGAACAGAATATTGCTTCTTCTTCCAAGCCTTCTCTTCGTCCTTTGTCTTTCCACACTAACCCCCCCTCTCGTCTTTTCTTCGTATGATAAGATTCATTTAATTTACAGAAGAGGAGGAGTAACAAGAAGAAGAAGAAGAGTACAAGAATTCACTTCCTTCGATTGATCCAACGTTAGATTAATCTGTCTGGAACCCTATTGTGGCATCATCAATCTACAGAACCATTCATATCACCCCGTCTCTCGTTTTTTTCTTTCAGTTTATTGTTCTTCTACCAACCCAAGGGAAGAGAACCTGCACCGAGGAAGGAGACACGCCGTCTCTCTTTCTTCCCTCGTCATTATTTTTTTAATTGGTATGCCTTTTCTCCCCCCTGTCTCTCTCTCTCTCTCTCTCTCTCTCTCTCAAGAATATCATTCTTCTCTGTTTTATTAAGAAAGTTATTTAAATAATAATATGTTGGATTAGATTGGATCGGGCTGGGCTGGGTCGATTATTACCTACATGCATGAATTTTTTACTCCTATAGTATAGGGAGAGGATTCATTAGACGAGCGTGTTTGGTATTTGGTTGAAATGGATTTTAATATAGTGTTTTGTCTCTCGGCCTACATAGCTAAATGATTGTCTGAGCAGAGCAGACTTGGTGAATGAGCGTAGCGATCGGCCAAGGGGATCACAGAAAAGACCATGGAGAGATTCTTATTAGCTGTGGACACCATGGGAGCAAATCAGGTGGGAGGAGGACAGACTCTCTTGGGCACCATCAAAATTGCTGTTCTGCCCATTGCCAAAGTTTTTACCATGTGCTTCTTGGGATTTCTCATGGCCTCCAAGTATGTTAACATCTTGCCTGCTAGTGGAAGGAAACTCTTAAATGGGGTAAATAAATTTAAACCAACTCCAACCCCAACTTTATTTTATTTTTATTTTATTCATTGCTGCTTTAGTTATAAAACAGTACTAATCGGCTGTTTTAAACAACCATCTTTTCTTGTTATATGTGCAGTTGGTGTTTTCACTTTTGCTTCCTTGTTTGATATTTTCTCAACTTGGACAAGCTGTCACTTTACAGAAAATGTTGGAGTGGTAGTTATTTCCTCCTGCCTTTCCTTTTCAATTTACTACATCTGCGAAATTGTAATAGGGTTTGTTGTTAATTTAGCTGCTGTCTGTTTGATTGCAGGTGGTTTATTCCCGTGAATGTTGTTCTTAGCTCCATCTGCGGCTCGCTAATAGGGTTTATTGTTGCATCCATTGTCCGGCCACCTTACCCATTCTTCAAGTTCTCAATTGTACAAATCGGAATTGGTGAGCCACTTCCTTTTTTGAAATTTTAATATTGAGTGTGTGCTTATTAATTTGTCTGCTACTTGGGCAGTGAAATGCATATGCAAGTTTCAAAAACAAGTGTGTATATTATGCAGTAATTTTGAAAATCTCAGCATTTTTTTAATTTCTAAGTACATAAACTCCAGTCTCTACATATTAGCGCTTCAAATGTGCTGGTGCTTACTCTTTTCAAACCTTTGTTTATAACGTGCAGGGAATATTGGGAATGTGCCACTTGTTTTGATTGCAGCTTTATGTAGAGATTCATCTAACCCTTTTGGTGACTCGGAAAAATGTAGCACAGATGGGACTGCCTACATCTCGTTTGGCCAGTGGGTAAGTCGCAAGCATCTGTTAGTCTTTTGCTATTTCTTGTATGTTACGATCAGAGTTGCAAAACCATGTCGTACTTTGGTCGTTTATAAATTACCTTGCATACTTCTTCCTCTTTAGATTTATGGTATCCTTCGTGATAAATACAGTTTTCTTGCTGAAATAAGTTTGGGGTTTCTCTCACTACTAACTCTTAACACTCCGTGATTGCTTACTCTCTTTTCACTACCTCACCCAACAAGCTGGAAGCTAAAAATTAAGGAAATAAATTTTTTTACTGTTAAAACATGTCTTTATACATATATATTCTCAAGAAATTGACTGGTTAAGCTCTGGTTGATGCATGCCAGGTTGGTGCAATCATTCTATACTCATATGTATTCAACATGTTGGCACCTCCTCCGGAAGGTACCTTTGATCTTGATGAACCGAATCTTCCCATCAAGAAGCCAGCCAAAGATGCTCCCATGGAGGAAGTCCCATTGCTTGCCCAGGAGGAGGCACCGGCAGAACCAGATGCTCCAAAGAGAGGGAAGGTATGAATTAAGTTATGTTTGCATTTTTTACTTGTTTGATAAACAGTTGACAATCAAACTTCCAGATCATGATTATCTTATGGATGAATAACTTGACATTCTGTACCAATGGTATCTACTATTTGGTATCAATTGATTACAGTCTGCTCTTAAGTTTCTATATTTTTAGCAAGGAAATGGTACTAAGATGAATTTCACAACTAATGACATTGAAACTTATTGTTCTTGGTATTTAAGAGAGATTTTTACTGATTTTTAAAGTGGTTTTAAGACTAACTTATCACTTTTCTGAATACTGGTGATCAGTGCTCTCGCTATTTGTTAGAGCTTTCACTAAGCTCTGACCCTGCACCATGAGCTTTTGAAAAAAGCACATAAAAATGATTTTTTTCCTATTTAACCAGATGCTGGTGATGTATCATATCAATATTTTATCTGCATGGACTTGAGTTTCTTCATCTCTTGGTGTTGCAGATCAAACAGGTTCTTGTCTTTGTCTATGACAAGTTGAAGCTCAAGCAAATTCTTCAGCCCCCTATCATTGCTTCGGTAAGTTCATCTTTTTCCTTGACCTCTTTTTTTGGTATTTTTTTGGCAAACTCGTAAGTGAGGCCATGAAACTGCAATATGAGATTCTTGTTACCTATTAGAATTGCAAAATCTGTTGCCTGGTTGTAAGAATGCTGTTGACAAGTGGAGCTGGCACTTGGTTTCATGGAATGTTGTGTTGGCACATCTTATGTGGCCTGAATAGGAAATAACCCTTAACATGGTTGTGCTAATATCATTATTCTTCCACTTGTTGGCACTATGATAGGCCTAAAGATGAAGCATACGATCACCTTTATATTTCACCATCCTTTAATGGGCCAAAGTTCTATGCTCCACTTTTTAACTAATTTGGCATTGTGAGCTGGCTTAGTAAAGTTGGTTCTTGTCAAAAGCCTTGGATCTTATTTCCAGCAGAGTGCATTATATTAAAAGGAGGAGAGAAGGTAGCAAGGGAGAGTAATTTTTTTATTATTCTCCTCTTTTAACTTTCCTTTTCATATGTACATGTTTTTTGCAGATCCTAGCTATGTTCCTTGGTGCAGTACCGTTCTTGAAGCAATTGATCTTTACAACTGATTCTCCCCTTTTCTTTTTCACTGACAGCTGCATTATTCTTGGGTATGCTCGCATCTTACACCAAAGCATTTCTTGTTATTTGTGGTTGGTCGTTTTTCTGATTGCAAGCAAATTGGAAGATGTCAATTTTGCTGCCCATGTGCACCAGACTCATTGACAAGTTTCTATTGAAAGGGAGAATAAAGGAAGGAACAGCTATTCTTGTTATAATTTGAATTAATTTCATACATGGAGTTAGTGAATCAATATAGTTTTAAGGAATTAGAAACATGTATAGCATGTAAACAGTGAGATTCTGAAAGCTCTTGCGAGGTTTGTTAGACCTGGGACTTGAAACATTTGCCTTTGCACTCAACGGGCCTACATCTGAATTATCATGTGTGTCAAATCACTTGAAGTAATACAAGAATTAGGGAGTGGAAAGTAGCATTGATACTCAACTTTTCTGATGAACATGACCAAGTTTTTGCTATTCTAACTGGCATAAACATCAAATTGAATCTTCTTGGAACTGTAAGGCTTGTGTAATTAGTTAATGCTAATTCATTCTGAACATCATGTGTGTGTTGAATACATGTGAACTCCACAAACAGGGTGGAGTTAGCTTGCAATCCTTGCTAATTTAATAGAACCAAAACCATCTGCTTCTGTAACTTCTGAAAATGAAGCTTGACTTACATGTATGATGTTTGGTTTGCCTTCAAGTAATCAAGGAGAATTTATTTATGGTGCTGAGACATGAGTAGTTTATTCATTCTTGCTAAGTTACCTTTTCATTGCATGATGAAAGTGCATCTACTTGGTTTTGCTGATGCTTCTGGTTCTGGTTCTCAGGGAGGCCATGATTCCATGCATTTTGCTGGCACTAGGAGGCAATCTCGTTGATGGTGAGATAATTCCTGACAATCTTCTTGTTACTATATTGTGCCATCTTATAAACTATATTCAGAGTAACGGCTTATTCAGAGTAATGGCCTCATGGTTTTGTTGAAAATTTAGATTATCAGCTTAACAGCTTAGTGGATTTCAAGTGAAAGCTCTTTGTTTCACTGCAGGACCTGGAAGTTCTAAACTTGGGTTTCGGACAACTGCTGCTATTATTTTTGGTAGGTTGGTTTTGGTGCCACCTACTGGACTCGGCATTGTTATGTTGGCTGATAAGCTTGGCTTCCTTCCTGCTGGTGATAAGATGTTCCGGTTTGTTCTGCTTCTGCAGCATTCGATGCCTACATCTGTCCTTTCTGGTAAATCTTCTTTTCCTTTCCAGGAAACTTTCATATATGCCTTTTCAATCTGAAGGCAAACTTTTAAGCAATCAGAAAATTAGCATTTCATGATCAATCTTATTATGAAACTGTCATGATATGCAAGGGGGAAAAAGAAAAAGAAAAGGCAATTGATATTTTATCTGATCTGGTATACGAAGAATGTATTTAACTGGGTTAGAAATTGGCCAAAGGGAAAATATGGAAGATTCCTTCCTTAAAATGTCAAACAGCCAAAGTAATTCATTTGAAAGCAGGGATTAGAAATCAATTTTATTATAGTTGGGATGGGATTAGAGGGTAGCGTCTCTTTACTTAATTAGTTTCCTGTCTCTAGGTGCTGTGGCCAACCTAAGAGGATGTGGAAGAGAAGCTGCTGCTGTCCTATTCTGGGTTCATATTTTTGCTATTTTCTCAATGGCTGGATGGATTGTCCTTTATCTGAACCTACTCTTCTGAAAGTGCTGATCAAGCCATTGCTGACATAGAGCTATCTTCAGTTGCAATTTCTATTACTGCCTGCTCGGGTCGATAGCCAAGTAGATGACCAAAAACTTGAAATAACTCTTCTTTTTGTGAGACTCAAGCCTGAGACCTCTTGAAGGGCGGGTGGACATCGGCACCAATTGTTGGCATAGCCTATGTTTATAAGATCTGCAGGAAGGAGCTCCGGAGTACTCATTTAAATTTAATTTGATTCTGTTTTTCATCCATCAGCTGCCATAACATTCTTAATGCTTCTCTCTTTAGTTAATTTTTTCTGTATTTCCGTTCCTGTAAAGTATTTAGTTACGAGAACCACATTGAAGTGTATGGCGATGAGACCGGTTTCCCAATCAAGTTATGCCAGCTTAAGCTTGGATATCCTCCACGAGGTTTATGGGTTTACAGTCATTTTACAAGCATCCATGAATTTCTACGTTCAAAGATGAGTGTTTGTTCAAGCTTATATGGACATCAATCTGGTTTTTTTTCTTTTTTCTTTTTATGTTTATATCAAATTATCAAAACTACTAATAGAAAACACACGAAACTACTAATAGAAACACATAAATGATTTAAAACTAAATGCAATTTTAAGAGGCACACATTTAAAATGCACAGACACAGTGTGTGCAAAAACAAACGGTATATAAAGTTTATGAAATAATCAGAAACAAAAATATATGGCGTGTTTTCTCATTCAAGGTTGGACTCCTCGTACAAAAAGAGGTAAAAAGTGAATCACTCCCAACTCACTTGAAGCAGAAACTTATGTCAGCATGCCTTGAACCACGAGAAAGAGTCTGCTTTTGAGACAGAAAACAAGACACGGGTTTTTGTTGGAAAGAAAGGACGCTCAGCAGCTCAGGCTGATTTCTCCCATTCTTCGTTTATGCCACGCCAAACGAAAATAAAAATTTTGATAAGCAAAAAAACATGAAAAATCTTGCCCGATGCGAACACTTGCGCCAACCCTAAACGAAATGAACACGAGGAAAGGACATCCAATCACGAACAAATGTAGCTGCGTGAGGCCCTCGTTTTGGATTTTTGAGCAATAAATTCAGTGGAATGGTATCGCATGGTCCCAAGTATCAACCAAAAAGATCAAATCATCACCGGACTTCCAGAATCGCATGCACATCACTTTAGAATCAATCAATGCGGGAATGAATCTCACTCCTACTAAACACCTTCAATTAGGCATGGAAAGCCATCAGCACGACCTCAACCAAACCTCAGGAAAAAAACCACCACCTTCTCCTCTCATTGACCTTTTGGTTGGGCTGGGACGGGCCAGAAACTTGAATCTGATCCAAGCCTCGCTCAGGGAAGTTGCCATAACTATTTGCCCGCCTTCCTTGAGGATTGTCCCGCCACATCACAAGGACAATACCCAAAAGGCTAACAAGGGGAGCAGCAGCAAGCAGAAACCATCTCTTTCTACTGCCCTCTCTGCCAGAAGTACTTAAGGGCAGGCCCACATCTAGGAGTTCCCTTCCGGTTTGACCATGTTCAAGAGGTCCATCTGAGACATCAGAGGAACTGTCCTCACCAGCTTCCTGCTGCTGAACATCATGGATCCCCATTCTGGTACTTGAGTTTTGCTTACCCTCCTCATAGTCTTTATCATCAGTTGGAAATTCGTACCTGCAGAGAGGACATGAATTTCGTGCACTCAGCCATGGCAATATACAGTAAGGGTGATATAGGTGAAGGCATGGAAGCTGGTTAACTTCTGTGCCGATTGGCAAAAGCTCCTTGCAGATTGCACAAGCTACACCATCATGCCTATCATGTTCCCCATTGATGATCACAAGTGGTAGATTATTCACAAAAGACAGAGCTGCAGGAGGTGCTCCTCTCCTTCCAATGTCAGAATGAGTAAGAACTTCAAGCAAATCCCCGAAGCCTGTCGCATAATCTGCCAACTCATAATTCCATATGCGCTGCGGTAATTCCAATTCTTCCAAGTTAGCAAAGTCATGGTTATGTGCTTGTCTACTTTGCCTGGTTCTCTGGCGATTCAGGCCCTCAAATTCTGGTGAATGGGACTGCATGTGCCATCTAACAGGGCCATTAACTTCACTAGGACTTGAAACAAACAGATTTTGAAGTCGAGCTCCTGCTTCTACAGATTCAATTGTATCTTCCTCAATATCAGCCTCTTCCCATTCACCATCCTCTTCTTCTTCCTCATTCTCTTCCAGGTCATCAGAGTTCCATTGGTGGAGACCAGCATGCATTGGATCGATGTCGGTATCACTGTCAAAATTGCTTCCCTCATCTGCTTGAATAAACATTTCTGGGTCCAAAACACTATGTCCGTCCACAGAACCATCAGAGTCCCCCTCATATGCACTAAAAAAAATGGCATCACTCCCACTATGGAAAACCCGGTACCTACTGGATCTGAAATTAATTTCACTATCCCCATAAAGTGAATCCACATTACCAAAATCCTCACTTCCAGAATCTGAAGAAAGATGCTGCCATCTTCGAGAACTACTTGGAGTCGTGCGGGAGCTTGTATGTTGTAACAACCTAGCAGAACAATCAACATCTATAGAGCGATCCTCATTCCCATGAACAGTGGACTGGTTTTGCCTAGCCAAATTAATCACATGAGAAAATTGTTGTGGGAAAATGTTTTCACTCGACTCAGCACTGCTGTACCTGGTTCTTCTTCCTCTGTGACGCCTCCTTTGATGAGAGTCTCGAGTAGGCCTCTCAAGATCTTCAAGCAACAAAAATCTACAGTCCCCACATATACTGATAATCTCAAGATCATCATTATCAGGTAATATAATTCTTTGGCACAGAGCACATACTGCTGGGAGGGTAGAATGGCCAACTACGAAACCACCATTAACATGGAAATGAACAGTGGATGTGGGCACATCATGTAAAGTTCCTTGTGAATCCCTATCCATCTGAAACTATACCAAGGAGAAGAAAAAATATTGAAAAACATGAGAGATAAGCAGGATCGCGAGTGCAAGTTAGTGAAAAAGAAATTGATTTCACTTTTTATGTTTTCCTTCAAATCCCTCTGCTTGTTCTACATCAGCTAGTCTTTGCACCACAACATAAGAATAGGTGAATTGATTACCAAATTAACCATCCACCTTAGCCCCTCCATGCTAATGTTGATCAAAAGCAAAATGCACAGCCATTTTCCTCAAGAGATAATGTTGTTAAATTTAAAAAAGAAAATTATTGTCGCCTTGTTGATAAAATAGTCATGTAAAAGAAATGCCCATAGGTGGCTGAGTGCTTGCATGCAGATGACTCCAATGAAAACCATCTATTCTTCAAAACCCTGACAGCACCACCACCCCTAAGCACCCTTTATCTTAGGATAATAACAATGAAAAAAAAGAAAAAGCTTCCTCAATTGACTTCCGCTAAGTAATCTCTACAATACAACCACCACCAGCAGCAGCAGCAGGATAATATGAAAAAGTTTAGCAAAGTAGTTGTTCACAGACTCGTATAAATCTGTTGAACATTCATAACAAAAAAAAGAGAAGAAAATCTGTTGAATTAAACTGAAAATCTATTAGAAGGAGCAAGTCCCTAGATGCAATGAGTTGAATCCTAAGAGCAGGTAGGGCATATGAATTAGAAATCTTAACACTAGTTACTCATTGAAAACACCGCCTCCAAACCCAGTAAGCAAAACCCAAATTCTCTCGTCAGTTAAAAAGGCAAGCATGCCAAGATTAAAAAAGAACAAGAAACGAAAAGTGGTTTTGCATATGCAACACTCGAGATATTTTAGCTTGATTATTGTACCCCTAAGCACTATAGCTATAGCTAGGGCAAAGTGGGCTTTGATTGCATAAAGATTGAGCTTCTTGTATTTCAATCAAATGAATTACAACTACTACTATAGCTAAGGGACACAAACAGCAATTTCTTTTTTCTTTTTTTCTTTTTTTACAGTGATTCATTTCCAATTACCAGTACTGTAGTAAGTAATTCACAGGCAAACAAATAAAGGATGCGAACCGAGATAAATTAGAGAAAAAAACACTACACGACTGGGAAATGCTGGGGAAAAAAGAAGAAAAAATTACCACAGAAATCAAGAAAGTGGAAAGAAATCGAACTTGACAGCAGCGACCCCAACTGCAAGAGCTAAAGTAGAATAATTTCGTCTTCAAATAAGAAAATGAAGAATCCAACAGCGCCACAGCACAGCAATTATGTATGTGGGTGGGTGGGGGCAAGTAGTGGCAAAAATGGATCTAAAAAGAAAGCTGCAAAAAGAGAAGAAGATATCCAGAAGACCCCGAACAGAGAGACAGGGACTCTTTTTTATAGAAGAAGCAAGCAAGATGGGAAATCCCGACAGGAAAGGACAAGACAACCACCGCAACAACTACAAGTAAAACTACCTGTGAAGGTGTTGGGATTATCTTTAAACAGAGAAGTGAAGACTAAAAATTGATGATGATAAGAGCAACCAAACTAGTCCTCACCTGACTACTGACAATTGTCTTGACGACACAACTAAGCCCTTTGCGTTATCCAAGGCAGGAGTTGAACTTGTGAACTCCCAGTATCACCAGCTCTCCACTGCGTTAACGAAGTCTTTTACTAATTATCATTTCTACGTGGTACCCAAAAATTGATTATAAATCATAGAGGCAAAGCAAGGTACTTGATTGAAAAACATAAGACTTCAAATACTTAATTGAGAAATAAACAATATGAAAAATGCACTCAGAATCTACAAAACTCACGTGCCCCTTCCAATCATTTTTTTTGTTCTTCGTCTCTCAAGAAAGGATACGGAATTCCTGTTATAATACGTAAGATTTGGGTCACCGGTCATGTAACTCGGCTTAAAACGACATGGTTTTAAAATATATTTTTTTAACAAAAAATAAAATAGTTATTTTGAGAAAGAAATGAAAAAAAATTACATTGTGTTTTACTCGATGTTTGACCGTTATAAATTTACCAACCGGGCTGATTAAATTTGATTTAGTGTGTTTTGAAATGCGATGAAAACTATATTTTTAAAAATTTTAAATAATTTTTTTATATTTTTTAATTTTTTTAATGTGCTAATATCAAAAATAATTTTTAAAGTATAAAAATATTTATTTTAATATATTTTTAAATAAAAAATATTTTAAATTATCATCATTATTTTAATTTCAAACATACCTAGTTGATTATTTTTAGTTCATGAACAATTTAGTGCTTTAGCTATTTCTTATATGTGACTTTCTAATAGCATTCCACGTGTTCCATATTGATCATGGTTTATTATCAATCTATTAGGGATTGTAATTGTATTATGGTTTAAAATATTTTTTGTTTAAAAATATATTAAAATAATATTTTTTGTTATTTTTAAAATCAATATATTAAAAATTTTAAAAAAAATTTTAAAAAAAATTAGACCACATTTCCAATAAATTAATTAAAAGATATAATATACTAGAAATGTTATCTGTAGTCACCTATGGGCTGAAAACAAAAATGATATAAGAAAAGGGTCAAGATAAAAAAAATATAAGTATCTATTCATTAATTTAACTGACAATTTAAATAATAATCTATTCATTAATTTAACTGACAATTTAAATAATAATAATAGATAAACTAAAAAAAAAAAAACAATACTATACATGAACTTATCTGAATTATCAAACAATAGAGTAGAAGGAAAACTATAAAAGAAATAAAAAAATAAAACTTAAAAAAAAACACATGAACTTGAAAAATTGGAGAAAAAACTAAAAAAATCCAAGTGAACTGATATAATTTTAAAAACTTGCAACTCATTGAATCATGTATTAAGGTTCAATTAAAAAGTTAAATTATCAACTAATTTAATTTTAAAAAATGATATCATTGAAAAATATTAATAAAAAGACTTGCAAAAAAATAGCAACAAAAAATGAGGATAAAGTTTAAGAGAAAAATAACTAAGGATGATGAAATTTGAAAAAAAATTAAAATAATACCAAACAAAATAAATAGCAATTAAAAGAATAAGTACTAAATTTGAAAGATTAAAAAAAATCACAAGAAATAAAATTGAAAATATTTGTAATTTAATAGATTATTTATAAATTTAAAAACAATAGGAAGTGAAATTAAAAAAAATATAGAGGGCAAACCCAAAAGAATCAAATCTCAAAAATAAAAAAAAGATTAAATATATAAAAAATGCTAAAAAAAAGAAAAAGAAAAAACAAAACCAGACAAACATTCTAAACATGGCCTAATATCTAAAACTTATAACTTATGAAATCCTAGACCTGAATTTAATTAAGAAATTTTACTCTCAACAACTTTGATTTTGAAAGATAAAATTGTATAAAAATATTAATAAAAGAATTATAAAATAAAAGATATCAACAAAAGAAATGAGGATAAAAATTGACAAAGCAAAACCCAAAAATGATAAAATTTGAAATAAAAATATTTCCAGACAAAATAGATTACAATTAAAAGAATGCAAAACATATTTGAAAGATTAAAAAATCACAGGGGGTGACATTAAAAAATATTTATAATTTGATAGATTATTTATAGATTAAAAGATTATACGAGTAAAATAGAAAAAAAATCATTAAGGGTTAACAAAATAGAATTAAAACACAAAACAAAACAAAACAAAAAAATAAAAAAATAAAAAATATCATTTTTTTTAAAGAAGTAAACTTGTCTATCCTCTTAACCTAACCTAATCTTTAAAAATTATAAAATTTCAATTAAAAAATATATTTTTCAGTCAATTTAATAAAAAACAGTGAGGATAAAATTTAATAAAAAAAATAAGAAGGATAAAATCTAAAAATAAATAATAATAATAATAATAAATAAAATAAATAATAATCAAAACACATTCAAAGATAAAACTATCATATTCTCAAACAACACTAAAAATGGTTAATTTCAAAACCCTGACTTAAACAAAGGCAAATATATAACAAGTGAGATTTGAGCCTAAAATTCCATTAATAACATTAATTTTGATGGACAAAAAAAAATGGTTAACAATGAAAGTATAAAATCAAATAAAAAAATTGATATCAAAATCAAATGCAATATGAATAGAAATTTATTGAAAATAAAATGGATGAAAAATCAAATAAGTGATGTATCAACATTTTATTGTTTTTGTTTGGATTTACTCAAAAAAATGATAAAAAGAGAGTAATAATTTATTATTTTTAGGTTAAAACAAATATTAAGATGAAATATATATGATTTTAGTAAGTTATTAGTCTTGTTATTTCTAAACTCAGCTAAACATTTAACCTAAATATATATGGGTTCATGAGCTGTTAGGCCTATAATTTGTAGGTTCAACTAGGTGTTGAATCTATGTTTTTTTAATATAAAAATAATTTTTTCTTACAAGTTAATCTTATAAGAGATTTAGTTTTTCATTTATTTTAAGATTTTTTTTCTAAACTATCTCTTAAATATTTAATTATAACAGAATTCTCAAGTACATAAAAAGAATCTTTTATAATTTTACAAATATCAAGCATGATTTGCTAACCATCTGACCCGCCACCTCGCTAATAATAGGTGGGTTAAATTGTCGGAACTATAAAATTAATTAAATATCCCAAATATGAGGGGTTTGGAGGATATCCTAAAAAAGAAAGAAACCAAACATTTAAGTAGCTTTCACATGGTGAATGTATCCTACGAAGATGGAAAATGGTAAATGCAATTATTTTCATTAAATGTAAAAAATAATTATTTTGTTGTTTTAATGGTCAAGGCTTCCCCTCCCCAATCTACTGTTAGTCCTCCCCACCAAGCCATCCACACACACATAACTACAGCATTCGTAATAATTCTGCTGAAAATAATAATAATAATAATAATAATAATAATAATAAAAAGTTTATCCAATTAAAGAGAAAATTAACCAAAATGAAAAACAAGGGGGGATTTAAATTTTTCCGTAAAAAATAATCATAAAATTTTATTCGTATGTTTTACCTGTAAAATCTTATATTTTCTACCAATTCGTCATTATTATTTTTTTAATGTGAAAAATAAGTTGAAAGTTTTTTATTCCATAAAAACATGGGCCTGAATGGTCGAAGTGGTCAGGATGTGACAACAGACTCGGGCCATGGACTATCAAGCGTTGACGGCAAAAAAAAAAAAAAATTAAAAAGAAACTATTATTTCCAGTAATAAAATAAATAAATAAAGGAAAACGATTAAGGGAAGAGTCTCTTTTAGCTGATTCGTTTCTTGTCTGGTTGCGGTCTGTGGAACCCCACACTCTCTGTCTCTCTCTCTCTTTCTGTTCATTACAGGGCAGAAGCGTTCAAAAAACCCTTCATTTCAATTATTATTTTTATTATTATATTTAAAAGAGAGTTTATTATTTATCCTGTGTGTCAGTACTCTTTGATGGCAGGAGCATCCTGTAATCACCTGCCAAATACCACTCTTTTATTTTGTAAACAAAAGATTTCATTTTTAACGATCAGCAGCAAATAGCAACAGCAATCAAATCAATTAATGGGGTTTTTAAGCATTTTCCTTGGTTGAAAATTTTGCATATCTCTCACTAAAATGGAAAAAACTACACCCCATTTGCTTCCTCCTAGCTGTATTTCTTCAATGCACCACCCTCTTTACCATTCGCATTGCTCACTATCTCATCACCACCTGCGTCTCTTTCTATAAAGCTCTGTGCTGGGGAAAAAAGCAACATGGGTTGTTGTTCTTGTCAAACTTGAGGTGGGTTTTTGTGATTATTTGAGTGTAAAGTTGTCTTCTTTGAAGTGAGTAAACATAAAGTTACGAAATTGACAATGTGGGTTTGTTTCTCTTTTGGTCTTGTTGGCTAGGAAAGTACAAAAATGAAGAGTGGGAGAATGCTGAGAGAGGGACACAGAAGGAGTCCTAGGATATCTGCTTTGGATTTGTGGAAGGCTCAGCCACCAAGGAGGACCACTGTTGCTAAAAAAACTAGGCTTACTAGGAGCATTACTAGCACTAGTACCAGCACTGCTGCCGAGGTACAAGACAAGGAGTTAGACCAGCAAAAGGAGAACCAAACTGAGGGTCCAGCCTGTACGACAAGGGCTAAGAAAAAGAGGAAGCTTAAACCTCCTCAAGATGTGGTTTCTACTCCCAATTCTCAACAGGTTTTTATTCTTGGCCTCCCTTTTATTTTTGTTATCTATCCATTTATTTATTTACTCGGGTTTGTTGGAGGGGTGAGGTAACAACTATCATTTTCATCAAATTCTTTGTTTTATGGAGCTAATTATCTGCAAAGATGAGTATTTTGCTGGTTTCTTGCTCACTATAATTGAGTTGGTCATGCCCAATTGTTCTTTTATTTGGGATCTAACTTCTAAGTTGTTGGGGCGTTTTAAAGACGGCTCCTGTATGGGTGAAAGTTGATGACTACATAAATTCATGAGAAGAATCTGTGCTGTGCTATTGGAAGTAGCAGTTGATTGACCCCACCCAACATTTCAGCTCAAATACAGCATATGGGTTTTACTTGATCATTACTATCTTTGTTGCTTTTATTGTAATTCTTAAGGCAGTGGGGCTCGTTCAGAATTTTTTCTTCTCTTTCTACTGCATTCTTACCTTCAGCATATGAGTTATGTTGTATTCAAATTTTAAAAAGCCTGCTACTTAACCATGATATGCAAAACCTGTTTCTAT